GTTGGACTTTAGAATAACTAATCCATATAGGTTACACTTTGTAACTTGATTAAACATTCACTTCTTGCATCCTGCCAGTTCAGTGATGGTCAACTATTTGACATCGAAGCTGTCTAATAGGCACTAAACAGCCTAATCTAATCTTCGATTTCAACTTTGGGAGACTCTTTCATAATACAATTAATCAGGACCCAAGCGGAACCATGTAAATAGTTCTGAGTTTTTGTGGGACATATATTCTAAGTATTACCAATTTCGACACATACAGGGAGCTATAAAGTCATCCCCCAACGGCTGGAATCTCATTATGTTAATATTCTTAGTCCAGTAATTAAAAAATATATAAGAATAAGTAGGCCAACAGGAATTCTAATAGTGCGATTCAATTAGAGACCTAGAACTATTACTATAACTACTTTTATCTTTTTTAACATGTCCGCAAAGAACAGGCAACTGGTTGCAACCCGGTCATACCTCCCGCCATCTTTAACGAATACATAACCCATATATCCCAGAGTGAAGGAACACCTCATGACATACTACGTGACCTTATCTCAGTAACTCAAATGTATCAAATCATCCCATCACTGGCCATCTAAAGACAGACATTTAAAACGCCTTCTTTGCTCATTCCACAATCTTAGCTTTCACTCTATCTCAATACTTAATAAGTCATACGCACGTCAATATAAAAATCACCCAGATATATGCACCACGCAAACCCATCTGCTGTATCCCATAACACTGGACGTGATATAAAGCTGTTTGTTATTGCGGACTCAGCAAAATATTGCAATGCAGATATTCGTAGTTATATCAGCAATCCTATATACAATCCAAGTCACAGTAATTGTTTAGGCTCCGGCATATGCGCGCACCATTGGGCTAGGAATTTCTTAACCGATGTGTAAAAACGACAAAGTACAATACACACGCCAATTTCATATTCCGACATGCTTCGTTGTTTATCAGAAAAACCGAATAAAGGACGTACGCCAAAATAACCTGAGAACATACCGTAACTCGCTAGAAATCGAACCCCGGGCAACGCCCAGGTAACGAATCCACAACTAATTCTAAATATTCAACTGTCATAGTCAATTAAAAGACATTACATGCTCGTGAGAAAAACGAAAACTAAAGAATAAATACGACTTACTAATTACTGACCTCTATACACAATTCGGGTAGTTGCCAACGGTGAGAAAATGGCTATAAGGATTACCACGTATTAATATAAAATCTAGCCTAGACTAATAAAATGAGAACAGACAATAACCCAACAATTTGCTTTTCTCTAAAAATCCGTTACACAGGCACCGAAAAAGTAAGTACCGATGGCAGCTTGTCCCACCACCTGTGATATAGAGGTGAAAACGCGATGTGACGCGAGTTCCTCTGAGGAACACAAATGGCCAAAAAATCTTTCCAAGTCACTAACCTACATTTAAAATAAAACCTCAATGTATACACGTGAATCAAGCCGACCCGTTGACATAATACACCAGTCAGTACCCACAACTGCTACGTTTATGGTGTTCGAAACATGCGTATTTGTCGTACAAGATGTCATATTTTGGGATACAATAAGTCACAATTTGTATATGTCAGGAGTAGTCCAGCATACGTTTCTGTAATAACAGTTCCTTATCAAGTATAGCTTGTTTATAATTCAGGAAAGCACCTAAGCCTGTAGGTCATAAACTCCTTGTTTCATCACACCCTCCTTTCTTTGCCTGCTTCTTCTGTGGCTCGCTTCAGCCAGTCTTTCTTTTTCTACCACTACCAAAGATATCTTTCACTGCCGTGCCCTTCCTCAATCTCCCACTGTCCTCTCTCCTAGCGAAGATATATAATTATGACCCCTTGTCATTAAAGTCATTCCGTACTAAACCTTCGCTAAACGTGACTCGCGCATAGCGCTAACATCTTCTGTGAAAAATTATATTTGCGAAAAAAAAATTCTGCATCTAAAAGTGAGAGGACGTTATTCAATCAGTAGGCATTCTATCATGAATAAAATTTTCTAATGCTTAGACCGGTCTTAAAAATAGGAAGGACCTTGCCAATATAAGTAACTCCTGCATAACCAGATCATACACAATCTGGCTACGTTAGTCAGTGTTTCGGGCATGCGAATACGCGCACCACCCGTATCTAACCACACGAGCAGTAAATTATCACAGTTTCGTGATCAGAGCATCGAGAAACAATCCACGAATCAATACATACTACATTATACCTGTATAAAAAGCAAGGCGGGTTATCTCAGCCATAGATTTTACTATAATAAATTCGTATCATATAGACCCTTGCATATACTAGGGAAAGCGCTCTAGCACTGTAGGTGCAAAACGACGTCGTTACTATATTTGTTACGGCGCGCAGACACAGTGAACGCGCTTCCTCAGCATGCTAATATATTGTAGCCCTACACTCTTCGCAATGTTCTCTCCGCCCTACATCTAGCTAAAGGGTCACTTACAGTAATAGACGGTTACCCTTTCCTCTACACTCCTAAAAATATCTTCCCTATATAACGCAAACATGCCTGTGCCATCAATTGGTTCTCGCTTGTCACTTCTCCACTCATGTATTACTCCACTTCTTCCTCATAAACTTCATTAGCGCCAAGAGAGATATAGATATGCAACTTTGTCTTTAGTCCGAGACACATCGAACGACCTCCCTGGACCGAAATCTCTCCGAGATAA